TTGAAGTTATGTTGAATGAAAAGGTTTGAGTGAAGTCCTTTTCAGACAACTTCAGTTATACCTAACAGTACTTCAGCCATATTGCCTTGTAGCACTGTCTTAACCTTGAGGTGACAGGTCTTTGCAAAAACATTACTTGGCCTTCATGATCCAGTTGTGCAGGTCGGTGAATTGGAAAAATGTATGTAGTGCAAAAATTGTAAAAAGGAGAGAATGTGGCAGTGTCTCACCATTTTAAGAACATGTTGCTTATTCTTTAGTGAATGAGAGAGGCTCGTATTAATGGTAGTCTCTGCATTTTTCTGTAGTCAAAATTTATTTAATGGCTTTGACTTTGTTTATCTAGCTTTTTGTTCCAAAAACCTTAAAACCAAACTTATCCTTGACATTGTGAAATGTCTGTTAGGCCAATTAAGTCTGTGAATCCTAATCAAAAAGATACTTGAAAAAAAGTCTTTGTGACCTTTTTAAACCTTTCTCTTTGCTTTTTTTTTTTTTTTTTTTTGCTTGCAAGTAAGGAAGTCATCTATTAAATTAGCCTTGCAAAACTTCCTATGGAAATTCATCAGTCCAGATTCTGCTCCCATCATATGTTATTGTTCAAACATAATTTTAAATTTGCCCCTTAAATTATTGGTCATGTAACAGGCATGAACCATGTTACAGTTTGTGTCTAGTTGTTCCCTTGGATTTTTGTGGATGAACACTGCAAATTACAAAGGTGGTAGTTTCTTTAGCCTGCTGTCTTAAAGTAGTTTTCTGTCTTTCTGAACAAGATTTCTTTCCAAGTTACATCCATTTATTTAGCCTCTCCAGAGTCTGTGAGCCTGCATCATTAGAGGAACCGGACTGGAGTCTTGTGTCAGATGTGAGTACCTGCTTGGAGCTGGACATGTGCAGCTGGCTCTGGTGGTGCCTTCTGCTAGATGAGATGGTAAATGGAGAAGCATGCTGCCCTGCAGACCTTTTTGGAGGCTGTGAGATCACTGGGAGTTGTGCCTTCACTTGAGCAAAACCACACTTTTTGGAACATAAATTAGTTTATTGCTGAGGGGGGTGCCTGTTATTGAAGTTCAGCATCAGTTTGCGTGGGAATGTTGGCATTAAAAAGCAAAACGAAAACAAAAACCCAGGGACTGAATGGTTCTGGATGTCCTATGATTGCGCTTGGCCTTGGCCATCAAAACGTTTTGTGAGCGGCACTTGGAGGCATCTGCATCATTCCCAAACTGACAGTGAGTATGAACGTGGCATGAGGAAATCCTAGCTGCAGATTGTGCAGATGTCAGTGTCAGCCAGCAAATATGCACAGGGCTTAAATCGAGTTGTCTGTGGGGAGTATGATACACTGTTCCCTGTAAAGGCTGTAAAACTGCTAGCGGGGATAGACAGCAACATGTAATATTTGATCTTCTACGCCCACAGTCCTCAGCGGAGCTGATCTCGTTTCACGATTTCTTTGGCTTTATGGCTTTTTAACTCTTCTTTGATCAACATTGTATTTCTCCTTTTCCTGAAACTCTTCTTTTAAAACTGGCAAGGACCAGCCCTTGCTGCTGGGTGGCAGTTGTGGTTTAATGGTAGTTTAGAGGCTGAAATACAGCTGAGATGTGACTTGTAGAAAAAGAAAAAAGGGGGGGGTGCAAAACATTACTCAGGGTGCAGAAAACCCCAACTCCTTCAGGCGCTGGACACTTAACTCTGTGAAAGAGTCACTGCAGCTGGGACGGAGTGAAAGGGTGCATGCCCGCCCTCTCCAGGGCCAGCGGGCTTGGGGCACAGGGACTGTGACGGGCTGCAGTGGAAACTCATGGTAGAAATGACGGTTGCACACCTACCCAAGAGACAGGAGGGCTCCCTGGTGCAGTCAAATGGCCCTGACCGGTTTTGTTGTGGTTTTGGCTCTGAAAACAAATTTTCTGTTCATGTCCTGAACAGTCTGTGATTTTAATCTCTAGAGCAAACTTTTCACCATGTATTTGATATGGGTGTTGCAAGTCCATTTGTGGGCAGCAGTTTTGTTTGCCTATTGCACATTTTCCTGCTGGTGAAAGTGTCATTCAGTTTTTCAGTCTTAGGGTGCTGCAGGATGGCAGAACAGAGACCAAAGATGCCTGAAAACGCGTCCTCTTCAGGGAGAGTCTCTAGCAGGGGCATGGGCTTCCTAGTGTGTCCTGAATTAGTGGCTGTGGGAATAAACTGCTAGGCAAAGCTGAAAGCAATCCTGACAAAAGCAAACCTTATGTTATATATTTCCATAGTGGCACGTATTTTGGGGACACTTGTGTCTTAAAAAAACCACCCCAAAATAGAGGTCCTTGTGCTGCCGATGCAGACTTCTGCAGTACTTGTGCAGTCGTGTGTTTGCTTTCCTTTACATTTTGTGCTGCGAAGAAGAAAGTGGTTTCTGCTAAGCCACCGGACCGGTAAAGAACAGCAGACTTACTGAACAGTGCCCTTCGGGGTTATGATAAATCCTCCTGACAATTGCACTATAAATACTCATTGTATGTAAACCTGTATCAATTTCAAAGCCTCTTCAGGCTTATCTGAAAGAACTTTAGAAAGGGGTGTGAGTTTGGCAAGGATAAGAGAGGTCCAAACTGGCTGTTGCAGATATTCTCAGGTTAATTGAATTCCACTTTTGTCATCAGTTATCACTTCATAAAACTTAAGTTTCTGGAATAGGAGAAGCAAACTGATTTTGATTTGTTGCAATCGATCCATTGTAGAGAGAGGTTTTTGAATACTTTGTCTAGGCAGGATCTTGATTCGTTATGTTTTGTGGGAATGTTTTTTACTGTGGTGCTCTCGTGGGATATCTCAGGAGCTTTCTGAAGTAATCTGCTGGTTGAACGCTGCTTTTCTGTACAGCAAGATGCAAATTTCTGTGCCTGCTGTTCACCACTGATTAGATTAAGAAGTAAATTAGGTGTTTGAGCTATCAAGTTAAGCTTGCTAGGAAGAAAAAGGGGAAAAGAGAGATTGCTTTTTGGCACCGTGAGTTATGAAGCTTCCCGATCTCTTGCTGTGTAGTAGAAGTTCCCTGCTGTTTGCTCTCCCTCTCCCCTCCTCCTGCCTGCTGTGGGGCTCTTCTGCAAGCAAGATCCCAGCCCCTTGCTTTCATTCGTGTAACTTATCTGGCCGTGCCTCAGCTTCTGTTTGTCTCGGGGTGAGTAAGGTCAGAAGCAGCTATCCATGCGTGATTTTCTGAAGAGAAGTCAAATCTTTGTCAAATGAGCGCTGCCTCGATGAGAGCCTTATGTAGACACAGACAAATGAGGTTGCAGGGAAAAGAGATTTCTCATCTCCTCTTGTCCCTCCAATGCAAATAGCGCAGCATATGGGAAACAGATGAGTGACCTTTCTGTGAGAGTGTGAAGGACAACACTTTTTGACTTTGTTAAAGTGTTTGCGTGCTTTGCTGTTTACCTTGATCTGGGGAAGATCCCTCTGATGGGGCACTGTAGCTCGCTACCCTCTTCCTTTAACACAAGGAATGTCTCCGTGGCCTTTCCCTTTCAGCAATTATGCCAATTGCTGAACATTTCCATTGAATCTCTTGTTTATAGGCAAGAAGCTGTTTTTGGATGCACTTTGCTCATTTTAACTACTCAGCCCTTTGATTGGTTTTCATTCCAATTTCCTTTAATAGGAATGGTTAGGAAAGGATGTGTAAACGGCATGTACTTTCAAAACACATGCCTTGCTAGTAGATAAGCCGATCTGTCGAAGTGAAGTGGTGTTCCCCACGGCCAGGTCAGTGTCTGGAAGCAGTGCAGATCCTGCTGCAGAGCATCCCCAGCACCTAGTGCTGCTGGGGGCGTGGGAAGGAGGGCACTGCTGCTGCATCCTCTCCCACCATGCACAGCCCAGGCATGGGGCAGGTGGCGTTCTGTCAGGGGGCATCGCCGCTCACCCTGGCTGTGCAGTTACCCTCGTCCCCATGTGCCTGGGGAGCAGGAGGTGTTCGCTGTGCTTGTCCCAGCCCCTCCCTTGCCCAGTCGTACCCACACTGCTGATGCGTGGTGTCGCACATGTGCAGGAGGGTGTCCTGCCAGGAGCCGCTAAGTGGTTTTGCTGATACATTAAAAGCAGATTTATGTGTTTGCACAAGCTGCAATGTCTGCTGTTTGTTATATAACTGGCAAATACCAGCATTGCTTTTGCTTTGTACTCTTCCCCAGAGCTTCATTGTGCCTGGGCTCAGGAGCCTGGTTGTAGGCGCTGCCATGGCTGTTGCCTGGTCCCCTTCAGGTGGTGGTGGTGGAGTGCCAGGGCACCAGCAAAGACCTGGCCTCCTTTCAGAGGTCTTCACCACACTTGCGCTGGGGAGTCCTGGCCTCTGCCAGGTGGGCATGTGGTGGTCACTGCCTGGGCTCCAGCGAAATGGGTGAGGGAGGTACAGGGGCAGTCCGTTGATCCAGGCCATCTGCAGAATTTTCCAGAAATCACAGTGCTGTGCCTACCCGGCGGTATGTTCAAGGTTTTATTCTGAACTGCGCAAGTTACAATTCTATTGCTTTTCTATTTCTTAATGTCAGTTGATATTCCCATGAGCTGGCATTCAAGGGTCTGGTACATGATTCCTCCACTTAAAACCACCTCTACTTTGCCCTCTCCAATTAGGGCTTTGTACTGGCTTCTTTTTCTGCTGAGTGCACATGGGTGCATAGAAGAACGTGAGCCATGAAACAAGAGGAATCCTGCCAGCTGAACGAGCACCACTGTTTAATGAGCTCTGTTTCACTTTCCTTCTTTCTGATCTTTCTTAGAATATATCTTCTACTAAGGACTTGAAAAGAACAGGCTTTGTAGAAGTGTATTATTAACTGGCCTTCCAATGGGGCTTTTAATTCTTACTAGTATTTCATTATTAATGGGCTTTCATGAATTTTATAGAACCGTTGGTAAGCAAATGTTTGATGAGTGCATCTGTGTCTCATGTCAATTGGTAAAAACAAAACAAACTCATGCTGCTCCCATCTTTTTTATTGTAGCAAACCTTCCCCAGTGATGTCCACTCCATTGAAGAAATTTTGAAGGTAGGTTCTCTTAAATAATCAATCTCTGTGGTTGCTTACATTTTGCATGCATTAAAGTAGCATGCGGGGAAATGTCGCCGTGTTTCTGTTCTGTCAGCAGATGTTTTAGTCACTAAAACTGTGTAATGCAGTCCACGAGCAAGACTGACAAGTCATCTGAAACAGCCAGAGCTGCTCCTTTGTCAAGTCAGGGGGTTGCCATTACTGAGCTTGTTTCCTCTAAAGGGGCTGGACATGCTGCCTGCTGTCCATGCTGCCAGACCCAGCATCACGGCCCTGAACAGGAGCACGCACCTTCATCCATCCCACCCGCCTGTGCAGTGCATTGCTGCTGCACTGTTTCTCCTTTGCTGTAACAATATCCATTCGCACAAAGTTAAGCCAGCTCTGATGCAAAACTTGCCTCCATAACTTTGTGTTAGGATTGGCTCTGTGAGCAGTGTGCAGGCTTCCAGTAGCTGGCTCTGAGTACATGTCACCCATTCACTGTGCACGGTGTGAAAATGCACTGTGACCTTTAATAAAGCTCTTTAATAAAAAACAGTTTAATAAAGTAAAAAATGGCTGGTTGTTCTGATACCGAGAAGACAGTTCCTTAATGTCAAATGCTATTCTGAGACACTGAAGTCCTAACAGGTGTTTGGTTTCTGTGATTTGCTTCCCTCACTATTGCTTCAGGTTGCAAGATCCTGATGCCTTTATTGTTCTCGAGAAGCTCTTGTTGGGGCAGTGTTTTAACTGAAAGGTAATTGTGCACAGGTGCTCACTAGCTGGTTGGTATTGCAGCACAAGTACTCCTCCTGGAAATACTGCATCATTTTGTTTCACAAGACATCCTGTTTTCCTGCCTTGTTAGCAACGCATAACACCATTTTTGTAGCAACCACAGGGAAGCATGCACAAATGCATGAAGAGGTGTAGTACAAGTGTATTGAGGAATTGATCATCTATTGAAAGATTGGACAGCTAGTCAGTGAAGTGAGCAATGAACTGAGCAGTGGGAGGGGAGAAAAGAGAAGGCAAGGGTGGTAACAGTGCAATCAAATGGTCACTCAGGTTAGTTGTAGGCTGCTTCCAAGTTTTGCACAGAAACCCCTGCAGATTGCTCTAATCCCTACTTATAGAGCCAAAGGTAACAATGTGGTTTCATTCCCTATATATCTTTGCATTTCATGTTATTCCTAATAAGGAAACTAGGGACACTCCTAAACTTTCATATTTGTGCCTTGTTGAAAAAATGGCACTTGTAAATTATGACACAGTAGAGACTTTCACACTTCAGTCTATTTCATGCCAAAAGTACAAAAATGTACTTTGTACTGACATGTTTCTCATACATTTTTTTTTTAAGCCCCTGAGCAAATTGCGTGTGGTGGATGCTTATCATGAGATGTGTTCAGCATGAACATAATTCCTAACTTTCACCTGGTAGTGATGGTGGGTGAGAGTGAGGGCAAGGGAACAGGGCAGGAGAATTCCTAAAGACATAGCACATCGGGCAGTGTCTTTCTTTGGTTTTGAAACCACATCCCAGAGCTCTGCATCAAAGATGTCTTGGTCAGTCGGAGTAAAAGCCAATGGTTCAGACAGAATAGTGTGGGGAATGGCTGGCAGTCAGCGCTCTCTGGCTGACCTCCTCACATTATGAAAAGCCTTTCAGAGTGTTGTTGCTGTAAGGGGTTATAAGAACTTCCGTAATAGGAAAGTCCTGTGCTTTGAAAAACCCCAGAACTACTCATACAGGTTTTATTTACTTTTCCCTTTATTAACTGTGATAGTTCTAAGGCTGAGGCCTAATCCTGCAAATACAGTAAGTACTTAACTCTCTACGAGCTTCACTGAGATTGCTATTACTTGGGCAATGCAAGTATGCTTGCAGAAAAGGAGCAAGTCCTCACCATGGTCTGGCTGCTGAAACCAAAGGAGAGCTTCTTGCTGTGGTACCATCTCTCAGCTTTATGATCGGGTCAATAAGGACTTTATTGGAAGATCCGTATGAATCTCTTAAGCGTAAAACCTTACCTGTGTGTGTCAGTGAAAATACTGTAAGCCGCTTCTCTCAATCTCTTTCCAGGAAATGACCCACTCATGGCCACCTCCCCTGACAGCTATTCATACGCCTAGTACAGCAGAGCCTTCCAAATTTCCGTTCCCAACAAAGGTAAAGCACCCTCTTTTTGCCAGGGTTTTTGATAAATTAGAAGAGCTCTTTCCGGCTCTTGCATGTGTTTTCATCTGATTTTGTCCCTCTTTCATAGATAAAGGCTGGTAGGAGAGATTATCTTTAGAAGTCGTCAGATAAATTAAAGCACAATGGATCTTGCGTTGTGTAACAGCTGCTTGCAATGCATCATTTTACTGAGAATTAGATCAGATTCTGCTTCTGAGTAATTGTTTTTGAGTGGGCTATATGGTAGCATAATTGTCTTTCCTCTTTTATTTTTTTAAGCAAGATTTGTATTTTTAGAGTTGAAAGATGTTTGAGCCAGAACGGGGGTGAATGAATAATATTTCAATGACTTCTACATTTGTTATAATTGTCGCCTTCAAATCTGACTGCTTTTCAGAAACATTTTAAGCATCTTATCTCTGTTGCCGCACAAAAAACATTTTATCTTTATTGCCAAGAAAAATACTTGCTGACTGTATTAAACAGAAGTGTTTGGCAGCTCTTATAAATTTTTTTTAATATTTCTTCAAAAATGCACATACTGCTGATGTGCTAGCAATGGATTTTTGGTGGCAGTAGCACGTATCATTTTTCTGTCCATCTTAAGCTATGTCAGGCCAGCTTAGACTATTGGACACTTCAAAGTCATACTTTGAAAAGTTAGTCAAAGTATTTATTACAGTATGTAACACATGGAAAACAAATCACCAATATGCTATTAAGAGAGAGCTGATTTATTTTATTCTTAATTTGCACTTTGTCCTTTCTTTCTAGGAATCACAGCATGTTGGATCTGTAGCACAGAATCAGAGTAAGTAGAAATCCAAAGAAAATACACTTAACGTGTGTATTGACACATAGTTGCGTGGTGTGTGTTACACGTTGAGGTGAACATCAAATGTTTACATTGATTAAGGAGCACATTTTCCTGTGCTTTGCTGAACAGTGATGAATTTAGAAAATGCTTAAGAAATTGTAGACATTCATTACCTGGAAATTAAGGCAGCAGTTCAACAGAGAACAAGCAGTATTTCGTTAGGAAACCCTCTTTGGAGTGATGAATAATCTTAATGGAAAACAATTACATCCTGGAAGAAACTGACTTTCTAATCTGATGCTCAGAGACCATAGGATAAAATACTTACTTTAGTGTGAGGCAAATAAAATCAACTGATTCATTTTTGATTTACAGAACAGTATGATGCACCTTCAAAAACGTTGCCTATTTCTCAGCCGAGAACATCGTAAGTAACCAGACTCAGTTCCCATCTATACTGTGCAGTTATTTAAATGATCCTGGAATGAATAACAATTTGGTTAACTTGATGGTTCTGAAGATTAAGGCTTTATCAGTCTGATTTTTCTCAGAAAATTTCAATGCAGGGAATTTTCACCAACAGAAACATTACCGTTTCATGATTATAATGACTGCTAAAAACAAAACAAAGCTGAAAAAAAGAAACCCAACCATTAATGTACCAGATTTAAGGTTTTTTTTCTTTTAATGTTATTTAATATTATGTAGCTGTGGCTACATAATATCTTGTCACACTTAGTGCTATTCAAACTACTAATAATGTATTAAACTGACATAAATTATAAGGGGTACAAAATGAATCTGATCTATTCTGCATATCGTTTTGAAGCCTGTGAGGGCTAGTAAAGCTACAGCTACCAAAACTGTGAAAACTAGGGGTGAAATTTTAAAGCAATTGTATGATATAACTTTCTGCAATTATGCAAGGAAAAGTTTTCTAAAAAGTGTTGTCTTAATTTTGTTTTTATTTTAAAAAGCAAACAAACAAGCAAACCCTTAAACTTTTACTTTCTAAAAACCTCAATTTATATTCTAGTAATGTTAGCTTGCTGCAAAGTGGGGTGAAGATGAAATTTCTAGAGCTTTTTTAAATAGTATTTATATATTTCTACTTTTCTTTATCTATTTATTCTTTTCTTTATCATGTTATGTTTTCTTTCAGAAGAAAGCTTAGAATTTGAGTCTCAGTGTAAGATGTTTATGCATAATCACTGCAAAAGTTTTACAAGGCTAGGAAGGAGTGTCAACTAATAAATGAATCAGTCCAATAGAAAATTTTAAGTTGGTGGATAAAATAACTTGGTATTGTCCTTGTAGGTGGTTATCTATTAATTAGGTTAATAATTATCTAGGTTAATTACAGAAATTGCTTGAAAGTAGTTTTGTGTGGGCTGACATTAGTCTTTGAGGATTAACCTGGCCAAATTGGCAGCATTGATAGCCCTGGGTAACAAATAGAAATCTTTCCATGTCTGGAAAGCTAAGGGGTCCCTGGGCAAGGCAATTGCTGAACCATTAAATGCTTATCAGTTCATGTGATTTATAAAGATCTCATCTTACTCCATGATTACTCATGTTCCGTGGAAGGCTGCAAACTACAGACCACAAAGCTTACTCCGTTTGTTTTCCTTTTTCTTATCGCGAACAATTTAATTAAAAAATCCCAAAACTGAGCTAGTCACAACTAAGAGGAAGAGCATCTCTCCATCTTGGTTGAGATTGTAGAATTTTGCACTCAATCTCTGCAAGATCTGTAAAACAACCCTTTTTGTACTGTTCCAGCATCATGCAGAGGAGCCCGCCCTCACTGGGAGTGTGGAATAGTGTCTTGCTGAGCAATCAGCTACTCCCTTAATCCATTCTTTATTTTGCTCCTCCTTCTTCCACTCCAGCTTGCTGCTCCTGAACAATTTCTGGCAATTTTCACTACAGTAGTAAAAATACTAGTTTCAACTGCTCCAGGCTCTGCCTTCCTCCTCAGCTACCCTACAACCATCATCTTTATTTCAACTCTTCTCCGCTGCTTGTAAAAATCCTTCTAGTGCTTTAGTCAGTTTTCCAGGTGGCAGAGAGAGAAGAGGCTTTCACTGTAGACAAGAATCTGAAAATACTCCTTTCTTAGCCCAAAGGTCCAGAATTGTAAATTTGGCATGGTACATAGCTCTGTCCTTAGCCAACATCCCCTCTCTGCTCAGTGTCCTTCTGGGTACTTCAGAGCCAGCACTCATCTACACAGGGACATGCATACCCACAATCGACGAAGGCAGTTGAAGCAGGAAGAACAGGGTGGTTTAGGTTTACGTCCAGAATGGAATCAAGCAGGATTTGCCCAAGAACTTCATCTACATCTTCCCCTTGAACTGATGCATCCCTTCTTTTTTGTTTTGTTTTTGTTTTCATTTGCACAACAGGGCTTGTTTTCTTTGCTGTTCAATGCCCACGTGACTGTCTGAAAATTCAGCTGCCTAGAGTAGCTCGCGTTACAAAGTGTAGCTGGCTGAAAACAAACAGCGTTTGTGCTGGTTAATTAGAAGTTGAAATCCCAGTGCATCTGTGTGCCCAAATTAAGCATTCAGCTTTACAGAGCGTGCAAGGGTTTCCCAGATGGCTTTCATTCTTGAATAGAGCCCCGAAGTTAGCACCTGGCTGCGTTGGAATGGAAGTAGCCCTTCTTTTAAAAGGGTAGATGCCAAGCTCATTCTTGGTGATGCATCTTTAACCCGGCTGGCAGAGAGGGACCAGCCTGTGCTTTCAGTGAGGTTGTTTGGCAAGTGATATTAATTTTAGTGCTGCTTCTCGCTAAAAGAGCTCTTTTTAAATAGCTTTACAGGGAGATTGATGGTATGTATATAAGCTGCAAATGAACAGGTCCTGCAAATGAAAACTTGGCATCTATTAACTCCTGAGCTAATTAAAGCATTAAAATTATTAAAGCAGATTTATTTTCTTTAACTAGGCTGTTTAACAATTTGTTGAAACCTCATTTTGGGGAAACTGGCTTTGTCTGTCCTTGTAGAAGTATAACTAATTTAAAGTTTTAGTGTTCTTCCTTCCTTAATCCTAAATTGAACTTAAGTAGTTGCAATGTTCTTTTATCATGATTTGTTTTATTTACCAGCAGCTCAGGTGAAAAAGGCGGTCCTTTTTATTACAAACAGTTAAATCAGATTTAAAAGATCTAGATAGTGCATTATTCTCTTAACCTCTGAAGGAAATGCATGCGTAGTCCACAATTCTTAAAGCAAAACAAAAAAGTGAAAACATTTTCAGAACTTTTTAGCATCCCTGGAAGTTTGTTCATTATCGCCTTTGAGGGATTACTTTCCCTAGTGGGTTGGAAAATAAAGTAAAAAGAATTCATTGAGGTGCCAATAGACATTAGCCAAACTGCCCAGAAGTGTGGAGAGTGGCTGTATTGTTGCTACCCTTCTTTTTTTCCTATTTATGTTTCAGTGGACTAGCAGTGAGCTTGGGCTCTA